ATATATATATATATATATATATATATATATATATATATATATACTATATATATATATATATATATATATAGTATATATATATATATATATATATATATATATATATATATATATATATATATATATATATATATATATATATATATATATATATATATCATATATATATATATATATATATATATATATATATATATATATATATATATATATATATATATATGTATATGTATGTATGTATAAGTGATAATTTTTAAATAAATTAAAAAATTTATTCTTTTAACAAACTTAATTTTGTCTGACTTATATGTTTTAATTATTTTGATAATATTTTATAAATGTGAATCGTATTAAAACTAAGTACATTTCTAACTAAGAAATAATTTTTTAAAAAAGTTTAAACTCGTCAACTTAAAACAAAATAAAACATTGACAAAAATAAGCTAAACAAATCGAATTTACCCTGAGATTTATGTACTTTATATACATTTTGATATAAAATCTAAAAGTTTTAAATTAGTCGCAATAAAATAGGCTATTAAATGTAACTTTATTAAACAATTTTTTATACCATATGCATGCATTCTATCAGGTTTTCCTTGCCTTTCCATTACGGCAAAATATTTTTGTAATGGCTAGTTATTGAGACAATCATTTTTAATGTGCCACTTCCTCAACATTGTCAAAACAACGTTTTATTAACGTTGGCAAAGTAACACTTTTTCAACGTTTTTTTAATTACCACATTTTCAACCAACGTTGAAATAACGTTGAATAAGTGTTGTTTTTCAAATAGTTTAAATTCGTTGAAAAAGCAGCTAATGTCTAACGTTGATAAACCATTACCTTTGCGACGTTTTTACAGTGATTATTTGCGTACTTATTTTCAACATTTAATAAACGCATTTTTTTGAGAAGATAAGATACGTTTAAATTTATACGCTTATTCAACGTTGAAAATGTAACGTTTAAAAAGCGGTTTGTTTTTAACGTTGATAAAGAATATACTTCGAAACGTTTTTAAAGTGGCTTTTTGCGTAAGTTGATTCCACGTTGAATAAACGTTTTATTTTGAGAGGCTAAATTACGTTACAATTTCAACGCTTATTCAACGTTTCAATTTATCGCGATTTAGTATACAAAAACAGACATTGATTCAACGTTGAAAGCACGTTGTTTTTGTGACTGTAACGCTTTTTCTACGCTGCGACTGGTTTTCAACGTTGATTCAACGCTTCCATGTTTGCTGGGTATATATATATATATATATATATATATATATATATATATATATATATATATATATATATATATATATATATATATATATATATATATATATATATATATATATATATATATATATATATATATATATATATATATATATATATTATATATATATATATATATATATATATATAAACGCTAATCTCTTTTAAAACACTTTCTTTATTATAAAGTTTGGTCACTGAAGGTGGAAAATAAAAATATAGTATGTTAAACATAAAACTAACCATAGATTTCATTTTTGTAACTTTCTTTTATAAAAATCGTTCTAAACTGCAGTGTATTTAGGGTTTTAAAAGTTTTTTCACGTTTTGATTTATCAAAAAGAATGTTTTTCTCTGTTGAGGTAATTTCATAAAAGCTATTTTGAAGAGATTTGTTTTGATTAGGGTGTTTCATTTTGATGTGCTTCTTCATCGGCTATGTAATGGCGAGCGAGATTAGGAAGCGAAATGACACTTAGGTAAAAGTTAATTAATTAAGCAAGAAACGCCAAAAAGCTGCAGAGTAATAGCTCAAACCAAAGTTGCTAGAAGAAGGCGTCAACTATTTCGTTTCGACAAGTCTTCAAATTGTGGAAAAGTTGTTATTCATAGTGTAAATAATGAATTTTCTCAAATTGTAAATAATTTAATAAACACTAATTCACTGTTCGAACAATGAAAATAAAAATTATGAATCTGATACTGCTGTATATATTTCAAAGTCATATTAAAAAATTAAAATAAGTGAATCTGCTAATCGTAATCTACTGTCTGGATATAGAATTATAGATGTAGACAAGTTATCTGATATTTTTAAAGAACTCACTTGTTCATTGTACCGTGATAGAAAATCATTTGTGTTGTCTGACAACTTTTAAAGATCAGTATGGAATTGGTAGGTGCCGCGATTGATCGGTTGCGATGTTATTTTGGTGTTGCAATTAGAACTAATTTAGTTTCTATAGAAGCGGGTATCATAGTATCTTTTTACCGTGTTACCTTAAACAAGATGAATAGTCTACATTTTCACGTTGCTTAGTAGGAGCTAAGAGTTGATGCAAACATAATTCAGATAAAGCTAATAAAAAAAATACTTATAAACCTGGACCAGGTTTACCAATAGAAATTTTTTATGAAATCAAGCTAATCTTTGAAGAACTCAGTGCTGCAAACAGTTGAAAAGGTGCTTACAAAGAGACACAAAATGCTAAGTAAATTTTTAATTGCAAAATATGGGAGTAGGTAAACGCTCCCATATTCTAATTGATTGAATGAATAAAACAAATTTTAATTCATTCAGTCAATTACAATCGGGAGTTTATGATGCAGTGGATAATTTTAATATTAGAAAAAAAGCCTTAATTTTAGTCTATAAATCTTTGGCGATGATTCCAAGAGCATATATTCTTAAAGGTTGTAAAAACCTGAACTACAAACAACTGTCGCGTGCCCAAACAGAATTGCTGATGAATTATTTGTAGCAAAAAACACAACAGAGTAAAAAATGAGAAGAAAAAAAAGGAAATTAAATGAAGCAAGATGTTTCTAAAACTTTTTATAAGGTTTTTTAACTTATAGTATTAGATATGCGTAATTCTAAAATTTACAGAAACTTTTTTTCGGTTAAATTTTGTGCCACGTTTTTTTGAGTTTGTTTTCCGTTAGTGATATGCTAATGTGTTTAGTAGTCTTAATTTTTAAAAATTTTTATCAACAAAAATGTTATTTAAAAAGGTAGAAAAGTTAAACTTTTTTTTTGTGTGTTTTTTTCCTAGTTGCTAAAGTGTTTATTGACTTTAATGCTGTTGAAAACTTTTTGATTAAACCTTAATGTCGGATCATTTTTTAAAATTATTTGCATCTGTTTATAAACCTTTTTTTCTTGCCACTCACTAAATTTCAATAAATTTGGATGTTCAATTGGTCTTCTAGGATGATCTAGTTGGGTATTATTATTGGCAAAATCAACCTAAAACAAAATCGGAGGGAGGACACTTGTATTTATTATAACATTTGTTACATAAGTATATATGTACATAACTTAAACTATAAAATTAACTTAAAAATTTACTTATTAAACTAATGTTATCCAGTATTAAAAAATATTAAAGTTTTTTTTTTATTTATTGTTAATTGTACGATCATAAAATCTCAATAAATGAAAGCATTAAAAAATTAGTAAATGTTAGGTATTTGATAAGGTATGTCATTATTTTAACGAAAGCCAAATACCTTACTTTCTTGTTTTAATAGGATTTCAAATGTTAAAACGCTATTAAAACAAAAAATAAATGTAAATAATAATTAAGTTTTTTTACTATTTAATAATTTTAATTAATAATTATTTCAAGTTGATAACTTAGATTAACCATTAATTTATTTTCAATAATTTAGTTACCTATATAAAAATACTTTGGTTGTTGTTATATTTTAAAGCAAAAGTTTATTTGTGTTTGTAAATCTATGCTTTGCATATCTGTATTTATTTAATATCTCTCTCTATATATATATATATATATATAAATACAGATATTTTATATATATCTGTAAGTTACATTTAATATTTATTATTTTTTGACTTTAAAAATTCAATGATAAACTAATGTACTAAGGTTAACTTTTTTGGTGTAAGTTTTTTTTAGTTTTATTCAAAGTTTTTATTATTATAACCTTTTTTTTTGTAGTTCTCATGCGATCCAAAAAAAAGTCTTTTTTTATGGTAGAGCTAAAAATAATTAAACTTCTACCTTTGCATAACCTTCATAAATAAACATTGATTGTACAACAGATAGCACTACCATTTGCAGAAATCGGTATATACATTTTATATTTAACGGTGAGTCATTTTAAAAACCAAATCAACAAATTGCAGAACACTATGATCTCATAACTAGTAAGACTCAAGTTATCCATCAAGTAAAAAAATGAAAAACTAGGGTAAAAACTTTTTCAAGGTTTGTGGACTTTAAATATTTTATCAAATTTTGAAATGAATCTTTTATTAGTTATTCCTCACATTTATTTCTCATATTTAACAGCACTTTTATTGCAAAATACTAAAAGTTATACAGTCCGCACTTTTTTTCATTCTTCTGTAGTTTCATCTTCTGACCATATCAGTGCTTTAACTTTATTAACTGGGGAACCTTCAACAGCTGCAATTTATGACACAAAATGCCGAAATTGGTAGCAAACACATTTTTGAGTACTTAGAATTAGAACAGCAGTGCAGAAAAAATTCCAATATATGTATATATATATATACATATATATATATATATATATATATATATATATATATATATATATATATATATAATATATATATATATATATATATATATATATATATATGTATATATATATATATATATATACATATATATATATATATATATATATATATATATATATATATATATTTATATATATATATATATATATATATGTATATATATATATATATATATATATATATATATATATATATATATATATATATATATATATATATATATATATATACATATATATATATATATATATATATATATATATATATATATATATATATATATATATATATATATATATATATATATATATATATATATATATATATATATATATATATATATGTATATATATATATATATATATATATATATATATATATATAAATATATACATATATATATATATACAGTACACATAAAACAAACCAACAACAAATACAAAAGTTTATTATCTTTTTAGTTTATACAATTCGATTAACAAACGTTGAGTCAGATTTAAGTTCACAAGAACAAGAAGTTGGTATAGAAATTTATCGAATAGATTTGTTTCCTCTATCTGTGAACATCACGTCATATACGACATTATTTCTTACGCAGCTGCCTTCATTTTGTAGGCAAGTAGTAGAGCCCGTTTGGTCTTGACAAGTTATAAAACTAAAATCTTGTGGACTGTACCTGAAAAAGAAAGTAAAGATAATAATATATTCAATACATCATTTCTTTTCAAAATGTAACAAATATAAGTACTTTATAAATATAAATCAATAGTCAATAAAACATCAAGAGAAAAAAAAATTAATTTGTTGTTCAAAACGGATCTAGTGGAATGCTAAGTTGCGTACTATTCGAATATTAAGTAGGATACTGGATAAAAAGTAAGTGTTTTCATTGAAACTTAAATGACTATGAAATTAGTAATTACCGTAATTACTCTTTGTTTTATATAACTTGAAGAGTTACTCGTTCTTGTCGAAAACTTGACCTCATTTAGTAAGATGCATATTGCATTATATTAAAATTGTCAGTTAAAAAACTAATTTAAGTTTTTGTTGAAGCGATGTATTCTGCAAACATGTATTATATCAATAAATTTATAGATTGTGTCGGGTGTGTTTGATTCAAAACGGCATTTACTGAACATGGAGTTCAATATATTAGATTTCAAATACCTTTATTGAAAACAGTTTACATGTTTAAACTAAATCACTTAAAAAAAATTAAATTTTTATCACTTTCTATAGCTTTTATTAAAATGGTATCAAACCATAAGTATAAAAGATAACGAAAATAAAATTTTCTTTTTCGTTCATATTTTTGATGATATTAAATAATAAGCACAAACACTTTTGTTTACATATATTGTTTGTTTTTTTAATTAAACAACGCATATTTTTTGTGTTTATATAACTTTTATGATTTTCTGTCGTTTTTAGTTTTTTATTTTTAAAATTATTCTGCTGGAAGATTGTTAGCAACAAATTGTTTTATTGCTGAAGTTTTTTATTTTTTTTTATTTTTACATTTATACTGTCTTTTTGTCTTTTATCATTTATTGTGCGTGTAAATTTTTGTGCGACGGGGCTCGGTGATGAGACAGCCTGTCTTCTTCTTGCTCCGGCCAGGATTTTCATTTATTGTAATATCTTTTTTGTTATATTTATCAACGGCAAAATATATAGGTAAAAATAAATAAAAAAAAAAAATTGCCGTAGTAGTAGTGATGGTAGTAGTAGTAGTAGTAGTAGTAGTAGTAGTAGTAGTAGTAGAAGTAGTAGTAGTAGTAGTAGTAGTAGTAGTAGTAGTAGTAGTAGTAGTAGTAGTAGTGGTATTAGTATTAGTATTAGTAGTAGTAGTAGTAGTAGTAGTAGTAGTAGTAGTAGTAGTAGTAGTAGTAGTTGCAGCAGTAGTAGTAGTAGTAGTAGTAGTAGTAGTAGTAGTAGTAGTAGTAGTTGCAGTAGTAGTAGTAGTAGTAGTAGTAGTAGTAGTAGTAGTAGTAGTAGTAGTAGTAGTAGTAATAGTAGTATATATTTGCTACAACTAAAGTAAGTGACAAAATACAAATCATATATTGTCAGATTACAATTAGTTTTTGTTTAGCTGATATTTCAGTTTTTACTAAGGAAAGCTGCATAATGTAGTAACATTGGAGCTTATCAAGGGTCGCTTTAAGGTTGTAGACAGTTGGAGAATCAATAACTTTATCTGGTAGCATGTTCCATGCATAGACAATCCGATTGTTAAAAAAGTGGAAGCGAGCAAAATCGTTGCTGTACTTTTCACTTGATATTATTAACAATTTAAATGATGAGTGGACTTTTATAACTTAGAAAAAGTTTAATGTTTTAGTGAAGGTGTAGTTATGCTATTGATTAGAGAATGATGGATGGGTAGGCTAAGCAGTTGAGAAATGATTTAATTTATTTGGCAAGAGAAAGTCTGGAAACAAAACATTAGTCAAAAGATGATTATGGTAAAATTCTTAAATAACCGTTTGCGGTGAACTCTTTGCATTTTATCATGCTACATAAATAACTAATGTTGTCAGTCATAATGTAATGTTCTTAATTTATAAGATATATGTTCAGAAAAAATAAGATAAAATAACATTAAATATAATAAAAAAGATAACATAACATTAAAATATCAGAAAACATCTTTGAAGTTTATTTTATTTCGAATAAGGTATTGCGATATCGCTACCGAACTATTGAAGTAACAAAAAACACCTAACTATCGGTAGTAATGGTATTGAAAATGTAATATCTTAAAACTCAAATTCAATAGCTAGTGTTTAAAAGTCAAAATTTTTTTCAATAATAAAAATTGTTCCCATCACTACCGAAGTCCCTTTTGCCACTACCGAACTCAATATCAAAAAATAAAAAATTAGTAATAATAAAAAATACGAATAATTAGAAATAAAATTAGTTAAAAAATTTTTGTCCTAAATTAAAAACGTCAGACCATAATAATTTTTCCTGAACATTTGACATTTTATTAAAATTAAATTATCTTAATTTATTTTAAAATAATTTTTATTAAATTTTTTATTAAAATTGAATTATACAGTACAATCTCTTTAATTCGGAACTTCTTAATTCAAAAACCTCCATAATTCGGTTAAATGCAAAGCCACCGTGAAAATCGCTTAAGAAACAATCAATTTTGTAAAAATAAAATTGTTTTATTGCTTTAAAGAAAGTGGCATCTTAAAAGTTGATTATGCCAAGAGCAAGTCTTTATTTCGAATTCTTTCGAAAGTATTTTTACGGCAAAGATGTTGCCCAATGCAAACAGTGTCCATCGAAAATAAGTACCGAGCTAGACAGCACCGCAGGACTAAAGTTTCATTTTCGAGACTGCCACAAAGGCATTTTTAATAGTATTGAAAATGACAAAAAAAAGAAATCATCTGAAACTACAACTGAAGCATTGGCAGTAGAGACAATTAGTGAAGCTGCAAATTAAAACGTAAGTCAAGCCCAGATTGTTGAAGGAAGTAAAAAATGAAAAAGGACATGTCTTCTTATTGCAAATTAAAAACAAAATTTTCCTAAAATGATAAGCAACAACTCATAGCAGACTTAGGAATCATGAAATAATTGTGCGTGTTAAATTTACCATTAACAGATGTTGCTTCTGATGGGTTCTAAGATCATATGTATTTCACAATGGCTGAAGTTAATCTTAAAACATCTTTCATATAATCAAGGCGCAAGATACCCATCTTGTACCAAAATATCAGAGAGTCATTTTTGATTATAATGAAAAAGAATTTAGGAAATGTTTTTGCTGTTAATTTCGCAACGGATCTGTGGTCAAGTAGAAGCAATGATGCAGATGAAGCTTTAACTAATCACTACATTAACTCCTAATATGAGCTTTAGTACTTTTTGCATGGATGTGTTGCATTCCCTGAAAGATACACTGGAGATAAAATTGCTCTCAAAACAAACACAATCATCAGTGAAATACCTTCTCAGTAAGACTGTAAAACGACGTTTGTCTCTGATAGTGCTGCTAACATGTTGTCAACAGGGAGAAAATCATCAATGATCAGTGAAAATACTGCTTCTATTCTTCACTTGATAATAATACAAGAAGTCAGTTCTGCAGAGGATGTTAATTAGACTTTCCAAGCTTACAAAAAGCTTGCTTCGGGAACACACACAGTAATTGCTAGTCAGAGAAGAGTCTTTGATGCTTGCAGAAAAGAAAAGTAAACTTAAAAAAAATCATCACACCGTACAAGGCGAAATGGAATAGTGAGTTTATGTGCATGATCTATCAAAAAATTGTTAAGATTTTACAAGTATTCATCAAATGTTGTGTCTTCAGAAAAGTAGCCTACAGCTCATTTAATTTTTCATGGTTTGTTTGATTTTCAAGAAAAAAAACTCTTATTTTTACCAAGCGATACCATCACACCTAATTTATTGTCCGAACTGCTATCAAATCTCAGCAAAATGTGTCCAGAGTGTGCCAGAATGCTCTTTATTGACTGATTAAAAAAACGCGCGTAATCGTAGAAAACCATAAGGTCTTGTCGTCGAGTACCGCTTTTGAAAACGTGTTAAAATGTTGAAGATATTTACAAAAAAAAATAAAAAAATAAGTTAACAAAGTAAGAAAGTTAAAATATAATTTTGCAAATATAAGATACCTCAGTACATATTACAATTGTTAATTATACTTATATAATTCTTATAAGTTCATCTTTAAATAGAGGGTAAAACGGAAGATCACTAAAAAATATCAAAAGTATATTGTTATTTGTTCGATTATAAAAATAAGTCCTTTAAACTTTCGTTTAAAATAAATGTAGTTACTTTGATGAATATAATCCTCGTAAAACTTTTTAAAACTATTTTATTTCATAAGTATGGTCGGCGATAATCGATACAAAATTTGTTCAACATTATGTTTAACGTTATTAACAAAAACAATTTGTTTTTATAATGGGCTAAATCAAGTTAACTGCGGAAAATGAGTTTCAATAAACTGCTCACTTTACCTATTTTCAACATAACTATATTATTTCTTTCAATCCGGAAGATTAAATTTTCATATATCTTCACCATGCATCTGCTATGCATTTAGTCTTCAAAAAATTAAATTATAAAGTAAGTAAAGCATAATGTATTTTAAAATTTTTATTTACAGAAAGCAAAAAGAGTCTTCAACAAAAGCTCAAATAAATGATAATATTGCAAATATTGAAAAGGTCTCTCCATTGATAAATAGATGCCAAACAATACCAAGCCTAACCAAGAAAAGCATGCGGTTTACTGTCTTGTATGTCCACGTATGAGTATTTTAATTTAGACAACTTGTTCTTGGCCATTTGGTATAATATTAAACATTGCGGAAAAAGTTTCAATGACAAAAAAATCAAAACTAACAAAATACGAAATAAATAGAAATTTAAATAGAAAAAAAAAAAAGAAATTGTCAAGTTAAATAACTTTGGTACTATTTTTATCTTTGTTTCTTTAGAGTGGTTCCCAGAAAGAATTGAAGGTATAGCCGTTATTGTAAATAAGTTGGATTTTGATTGCGACGCAAGTTAACTAAAATCCAACGGTGTTCCACAGTCGGCATATCGATGTTATTTTAACGTTTGAAAAAACGTCAGAAAACGTTAAAAACTTGTTAACATTAAAACAACACTGAAA